AATCCAGAAGGAGCCTTGGTAATAAGCTCTTCCAATACCTGGGTTTATGGCCAAGTCATGAATCCATGTGGAAATCCCAAGCACCACAGGAAGGTTGGAGACCAGGATGGAAGACAAAGAAACGATCTCACATCTCGGCCCGCTGATTTACATGTTTGCTCGGTAACAGTGACAGAAACAACACTCTGGGGTTCGGAAGTTCTACAATACACAGCATCCTCGGTTTAGAGAGAAGATGGGAAGACACGAGCAAAACTCTAAAGCATGACCTAAAAGATAGGAACTACAAAGGATTCTAAGGAAACGCTAGACTCACAACATGAAGATGATCCGTGAAGAAAGGGTCTCAGCAAAGAAGTGTTCTTTGGGAGGAAGATGGTACAGCAGGTAAAATCAGTAGTACCACAAGCCTGATGGCCCATGTCACCACAAAACCATGTAGTTGAACATGGTGGCTTGTCTGTGATTCCTTCACTCCTGTGGCATGACAGGAAAAAGGAGACACTCCCAGAAGTGTGCAGGCCAGTTAGCCTAGAGTACACAGTGCAGGGGCAAACAAAGTAGACATGACTCAAAGTGGAAGGCGAGGGTGCCCCCCTGGCCCTTACACATGCCATAGCATACACACACCCTCACATGCAAACACATGTCCAAGCACACATACACACTGCACACACATACATACACGAGAATAGTTTTTTCATTTGAAAAAGCACCAAGTAGTAATTCTAGAATTGAAAACATCTGAAATTCTAAAACTCACTTAATATGACAAAATTCTCCAAATTTTATTAGACCCATGAGAACCTTAAGCACTCAGTAAACCCAAAAAGGGCAAACACAAAAATTTCACCTGACACATCATCACCATTGGTCATCAAAACCAAAATGGACATTTCGGAAGCAGCATGGAATGAGGACTAGCTGCCCTCCCCTCACAGCACAGGGGAGAAAAGCTGTGTCACCCGAGACTAAAAGCTGTCAATCCAGAGCTCGGTGGCCAGTGGGACCGCCTTCAGGAATGAGATGAAATAAAGACATTGTCAGATTTAAAAAAAAAAAAAAAGTAAAAATGTGTTCCTAACACATCGTTTTTAACACCAGACAACAATAAATGCTGGGAGAAACAGCAGGCTGGATGTAGTGACACCATTTAGAAACCTTGGTCTTCAAAAGGAACAAAGCCTATTGGAAACATAGAGACAAACCACCTTTCTCTTTATTGCCTTCAATTACTTTAAAGTGCATGTTATGGTTTGAAGTGAAAATGAGCACCTGTGCTGTAGAATCTGCACCCCACGGATGTGGGCAGTGGTGACTTGAACCACACTGGGGGCTGCAAGGAGCTTCTTCAGGTGGACTTAACACCTCACCTCACCCCACACAGACAGCAGCAGTTCTGCCAATGCCTGCTCTGCCTCCATGGCTAGGCCTTTAAACACTTGCCCTATCATATAGTACCTGGAACACTTCAAGTCGTTTCTATAGAAATCAGTCCCCGGAGGCTTTGATTAGCAGCATTCAGACAGCCGGGCAGCCTCCAAGAAGGCGAGAATCTCGCCTTCAGAAAACCAACCTGAGGTGCAGCATGCAGCCTCACCACCTGGAGCTACACTGGGGAAAGCAGGTATCCAGCAAGCACAGGCTCTAATTAATGTGCTTCTGTTTGCCAAACAGAGACAGAAAACAGGTCAAAACTACCATTCTGCTGCTAAGTAAAATGAATGCTAACGTTCAATATAATGTGGATTAATTTGTCAAGTGTCAGTCACTAACAATGGGCATAGTAGAATGAAATCTTGATAGTTCATATTAGATATGAAAAGAAGGAAAGGCAGAAGTTTAAAACTTAAAAAAAAATTGACCTGAAATAGCAGCAAATCTGAATTATAGGGAGTTTTGTCTAGGTTCAGAACAGGATTTATAATCTTGTTCTACCCACAGTAGCATCAAGTCACGGCTACAGCCCAAACCCACTGCCGGTAGTCACATGGAGCCATGGAGAAGCAGCAGTTGGTGTGCCACAAGTGGGCTCGGCACTCTCACTGCAATGCAGCCCGCCAGTCCTGCTGCCAAAGCAGCCCTTCAGTGCCTCAGAGCACACACGGCTGGGGAGAGCAGCTCCCCATTCACAACATGGAGAAAACACATTAAACGCTATTAAACTGCACAAGGGGGAAGTTATTTCCTTCTTAATTCCCTAACGAAATTAAAGAAAGTGCCCTTTAGGTGCTAATATGTCTCAAATAGTCCTGCAAGACTAGTTATCTGTGTTTTATTTTGTTTTGAGACAGGGTGTCTCAAGCACACCAAGGTAGCTGAGGCTGGCCTTGGACTCACTATATAGCCAAGGTTAGCCTTGAGCTCCTGATCCTCCTGAGTTCTGGGAACAGAGGGGAACTGTAAGAGGTCCTTCTGTTTGTGTGTTGCTTTCATTGGTTAACGAATAAAGAAACTGCCTTGGCCTAGATGATAGGGCAGAACTTAGGTAGGTGGGGAAGACAGAACTGAATGCTGTAAGAGAGAGACACCATGGAGCCATCAGAGACAGACATGCTGAATCTTTCCCAGTAAGCCACAACCTTGTGGTGATATATAGATTAATAGAAATGGGTTAAATCATGATGTGAGAGTTATCCAATGAGAGCTTAGAGCTAATGGGCCAAGCAATAATTTAATTAATACAGTTTCTGTGTGGTTGTTTCAGGGCTAAGCAAGCCAGGCAGCCAGGACAAACAAGCGGGCCCTCCTCCTTCAAGGAACGAGTGCCACCATCACAGAATGGCAAGTCTTCCTCTTAATATAAAGTAAGCTGCTGTCAGGAATTTCTCGCAGACAAGGTTGATGTAGCAGTTTTTATCCCAGCACTCGGGAGGCAGAGGCAAGCAAATCTCTGTGAGTTCAAGGCCAGCCTGGTCTACATAGCAACCAGGACAGCAGGGCTAGAGAGTCTGACCCTTCTAAAAAAAAAGAAAGGAAGGAAAGGAAAGGAAAGGAAAGGAAAGGAAAGGAAAGGAAAGGAAAGGAAA